CCCCCCCCCCCCCTCCCCCATCCACTTCGTTGAACACTCAGATCGTTCAACATGATAACGCGGTCGACGTCAATTGAGGACCCTCACAGACGTCCATACCCAAACGCTTACAGTCGTGTTTCTTCTTTTCTTCTTTTTGATGTTCGGCCACTCGTTTTTTTTTTGTCCGGCCCCCAGAGGACGGACGGTTTCCGTTTTTTGCGACGCGTCAAATCAATCGGAGAGGCGTTGTGGTAGTGCGAGGCGTCGTTCCCGCCGACACGGCGTTGCGGTGGCGAGATTCCTTGCTGGTGAGAGAGGGAGAGAGAGAGAGGAGGCCTTTGTGTGCGTAACAATATACCCTTTGGTATTTGGGAAGTGTGTATTATTTTCTGTTGCATAGGGACACCAAATGTGGATTCCCAGTCCCTGGGTTTGATTTTTTTTTTTTGCGTTTCGATGTGGAGGACATCTGCATACATTGGAAAGAGAAATGAAACTGATGCTGATATTCCGTGAATGCGTTGAGCGTAGCTTAGGCCCGTTCTCTTGGTTCGTCGTCCGCCGTGATTAGCCTAGATGTAGATGAGACAGGGCACCAGATGGTCTGCAGCTAACAGCCTAGGGAACTGACTTCGCACGGCAGGCCACGAGTCTCGCTCTTGCGGGAGCATGGCTGCCAAGAGTCTGCAACACTAAGCATACGGACAAGGGTGCATGCATCGATTGAAGAACGCAGGGCGGCTGACGACCTTCACGGCGGATGAATACGGCCATGTGATGCACCGATTATGTACCACGGTTGTGACGCGATGCACTCGCTGCCTTTGTTGACCCCTTTCGCGCCTCGCGCGTGCGCTGCTGTCCGATGCACCGACGCGGTTGCTTTTCTTTGTTTTTTTGACAGGAGTACCTCGAGACGAACGGGCTGGCTGGGGGTCCTCCAGGGGTGAGACACACACTACAATAGTACATGATTTGTGTTTGACAAGCAAGTCGTCGTACATCTAAGCACCGTTTTTCAGCAGTCGCATTTCTGGATGATTTATTTTTTAAGCTGATTTTCGTTTGTACCAAGACCGTGTGTGAGGTCGTCGGTAGTTTTTCGGCGCCATCGCCCTCTCTTTCTTTCGCTCGACCAGTTGGTTGTCTGGTGTTATATACAGCGTGAACGCCTTTTCAGTAACGGGCCGCTGCTATGCGTAGCTCATCGATAGAGGTGATCCCATCAGGCCATGCCCAAGGTTCAACAATATTTTATCGATCGTTACGTCAAGTATTGGTCACTTATTGTTGCCACGTATAGACCGGGGAGTCCTCTGTCGCAGGCAGCATCACTCGGAACGGATGGAAACCATTGACGTTGCCCGACGACCAGCGTGAAATCGTTGCACGTGGACATTTTCAACATGTTCTTCCTCGGGCCAGAAACAGCGGGGCGTGTTGTGTATCTCATCACCACCCTCGGCATGCTTGTCTCCTTTGCTGCTATCACACTGTGTGCGTGGCATTAGGCGAAGGACGTGTTCTGGTCCCAGGCACAGGCGCAGGCGAGGGAACATGACGGCGTTCGGCAGGTCCTCGCTGCCCTCAACAGGCTCTGGAGGCCAGACGCACATTCGCCAGCCGACCTCACCAAGAGCCTCAGGTTTGTTGTTCATGTTGTTGCCGCTACTGCGACT